TTCCATTGGTAATGCGCGTAGCCCAAAGTCTAGGGAGTCGGACACGGTGTTCTCGCTCGTTATCCTCGGTTTCCTCTTCCTCTTTTCGACGAAGAATGGAGGCCACGAAAATTTCTCCATGCGGAAATGCCACGCTTCTCGAGCGCGAGACCGCGCAAACTTCCTCATCTACAAGCTCGAGACGTTAAAGCGTGAATGGTTAAAAATAGAACCGCTAGCTAGGACGACTGGCTTTCCGCCTCCACCGATGCCAGTTTTTTCTTCCTCATCCGACCCTTTTTATAGCCCCTCTTACCTAATCGATGACGCTTCGTCAATTAACCTATCAACCAGGAAATTCGAGTAAACGTAAACTTGGTCCTTATGGTGATCGTTTCAAGATTTGAATGAATACTCGTAGAAAGATTAGTGGACGATTAATGGTTCGAATTAAAAAATTCATATCCAGCATAATTACACATTAACGCGAAGATATTTACTAATGACTTAATTAAAAAAATGTATATAATATAAAGTGTATGCAACCGGTTGGAGGGATATCGCGTTTTCCCAGGGCGATTCGAAAAGTTCCGGCTCCTCTTTCCACAGTGAATCATGCAGCAGCTCGAGCCTCGATAACCGAATCGCGTCTATAATCTTGGACGTAGCACGCAGCATAATCGCATCAACTACTACCTGTTCTTTGCCGATGATTAATGCCTGTAGGAGATCGTGATCAAACGAAATTTTCAACAGCCGTTTGATAAAAGTTCACCGCAAGAATTTGCTCGAAAAATCAGTTTCTTTAGATATGGCTGTCTATCAGGATTAGATAAGAAAGAGGAAGCGTTCTTGTATCATGCGAGAAAAAGGGATATAGAGGAGTTGCAGAGAGGAACGGAAAGAAGGGAAAGGAGTTGAGGCGACGCGACGAATAAAGTCGGACTGAAAGAGAGAAGAACGAGACGAAAGAGGAGCACGAGGCCGAGAAAGAGCGATGAGCGAGCGCGGGAGAGCGGAGAGAGAGGAGAGAGAGAAGGTGGAGGTATGCTGCGCAGCCGTGGGAACCGACTGTCGCGAGTGAGCGAGCCCTCTCTTTCGTTCTCTCTTTTCTGTGAGCCGGTTTCCCGGTCCTCTCGCTCCCGCACCATCGAGCTTCGTTCATTCTATCCTCGTTTCTCTGTCCGTCGAACGCGGAACGGGCTCGGACTGTTTCTCTTCCTTTTCATCATTCAGGTTTCTCCTCCTGTGCGCACATACGCACGTAAGTCGACGCGTGTCTCTCTTTCCCTCCCGTTTCCTTTTCTCACTCTCGACATTACTTTACAGCACATTTTTTCCACGCATCTTCCTTTCCTTCGCATTTCTTCCCGCATAGAAATCCGATGAAGATAGCTTCGAATCCGAGATAAAAATAGCCCAGATTAGATTCGAATTATTATATGGATATCGTGAAAGCATAGGAAAACGTTTTGCCCAGAGACAACTTTATAGATATTTATTATGCTTATAAGCGGAGAGTGTATATGCGTGTTTTCTGTGCAGAGCCGTTGTTCTCTCTTTCTCCCGATCTTTGTTCCCTTTCTCTCGTCATTCAGGTACTCGGATAGGTCGGTTCTCGTCCCGTTTCGTCGCGGCCACCGAACACACCCAACACATTGTTCTTAGGATGCCTATGCCGGAGCTTTTTCAGCTTTTTGTCGGCTTAATTCCGATCCCCCTAATAAATTAGCGGCCGATCACGGTGGCATTTGTCTCGTGGACAATTTATTTCCTTCCACTGACTCGCTTCCTCCAGGGTCCCTTTCCCCACCCGTCCCGTCCTTCCCGCACCTTCTTCATCGGCCTCTGCTTCGCCTCGCTTTCGTCCTTGCCGCGAGAGAAAAGGGCGGTCTGCTCTCTGCCTTCCTTCAACTCTCTCTCTCTCCCCTTCGATCGGCCTTACACCTTCCGCTACTATTTCCCTCCCGTTTTATCCTCGTCTTTCCATCTCCATTTCACGGTGAACGGATGGGACTCCTCTCGAGGGCCAAGGTATACCGCGGAATTCACGCTGGAACTTTCTAACGTGTACTCGCATGTGATATACCTGACGGTCCCTTGGCCCTCTTTCTTACCTTTTCGTTCTTTTCCCGGTGACAAATTGTCCTGTGAATCCACAGGGATATATCGAGTAGAGAAATCGCCGCGGCTCGCCGTTTTTTGTCCGCTCGCCTCGCATACTTTGAGAAACTTTGCCTAAGATTCTTTTGTCCCTCACGAAATTAACCGACTAATAAATCTCGATGCTGAAAAACTAGTCGAAGTTTCGAGTACACGTTCCCAAATGGTTCATTTTGTTAACACATTTGAAGACCGAGTAATTTTAGAGAAACTGTCTTTAGTAGATGCAGATGATACGTTTTTTTATTTACTAAAATGATACAGCGTTTGCGTCTACGTGCGTGCTTGATACGGAAACTAATTGTAAATAACACAATTGCTGCGTTAACGGTTTGGAATACGTGCCGATATAACGATTGTGTATCGACGAATTCGCAATTAATTATGCTAATTTTGACTCATCAATTTTCGTCTGATCTCGCTCGGCAAATAGAGATCAAAATCTGCCTCTGATATTTGATTATCCACTTTGCGCAGCACGATGCATCGGCATTTGCGTATTCCCCCCAAGGAACACGAGCGGGAGTTTTCGATTACGATCATAACAGGACGGGATGTTCACCTGATGCCCGCGGATGTGTAAACATATCGTGTCCTATTCGTCACGTGCCATCCGCAAATCGTGGGTAAATCGTTGGGTGTTAAAGAAAAAAGGGAATGGTCACACGCGAAACGGGATTTCTCACGTGACTTGGTGCCAGGTCATCTCTGAATAATGAAATTGTTCCCAGTGCTGCGTCGAGCACGTTGCCGGCTCGTTTACGCGAATAGGAACGGCGAACGATGATGACAGAGAGGCCGGATATAAACATTTATTATTCACGGTGCGGCAACGACTAACGAGGTCGTGTGTAATACCAGCCGCTCCTGTCTGTCTCTTTTTCTTTCTCCTAACACCAGCAATGGGATTAAATACCTCCCAAGCACTTAGCTTCAAATTCCGCAAGTCTACAGTAGAATCTAACCAGTGCTTTATGAATCAAATCATTCTAAATCGAGAGTCCTGCTTCCTGGAGAGTTCATCCTGAAATTAATTATGTTTATCTCTTGTCGTGCACTAGAATTCCAAAAAGTAAAAGTAATACGCGCTGTTAAATCAATTAAGACATTCTTTCAGAAAACAAATTAATTTGCACAGCATTCTTGCATCGGGTTGAAAATTCATTTCAATCGATTCGTAATTATATTATTGAACTCGATCCCGTTGCTACCTAGTTTATCATGTCTCTCTGTGCATCGGCTAATATATTTCGCGTGTGTACGTGTGACGTTAATAATTAAACGTTGCATTATCGCTGCATGCACACGTACGAGGTACGGCGTGTACGGCACGTACTTATTACACAATATGCAATGTGTCAGCGCGCACGATGCGTGCGAGTGGTGCGTGTGTCGCGGCGTGGCGTGTGGGCCGCGCACGCTTTGTCCATAGGGAGGTATCGTTGCTGGATTTATGGTCGGGCGACCGATATTCACGCCCACACCCCCCTCGGTCACTTTCGCGCCTCGATTTTCTAAATAACCGAAGGAAACTGCCTTCGATTTTCCTTTCGACTTTACGTCTGTCAGTATTTCTCATCAAATCTAATTTTTAATCGCGTTCTGCTTTAAAAATTAATCGAATCAATTACAGCTTCGTTCCTACATAGTCGGTCTCATATTTTTAAAACAATTTAGAACTGTGTTAGAAAAAGAGAACGTGGAAGGGAATGGTTCGTAAATGATTTGGAATATCAATTACGAAAAGCAGGGTTAATTCGAATGAACGTAACAATGATCGCAGCGTGCGCTGGAATTAATAGATCACCGGTTGCGTGTCGGCAGAGACAAGCGTAATTTCTGTTACACAATAAGCGATCGTGTGTTGCGGTTGCAGTCCGTAGTCCGTCCCGCGTACACATGTACACAGATTCCTACTCGCGCATATATCTATATTTATACGTTCCGTATCCATATTGGATAACGCAAACAGAGACGATAACAGGTTTCCCGAGGAATGACGACAGGATTCGATTAAAACGGTATCTCTCTCGCGGCGATGTCGATCGATTATTTATTTTCGCGTCCAATTAACCCATCCGGGCTGCTGTTGACGAAGCGTAAGCAGCACGTGGCCCTCGGCACGATTTATATCCGGTCGATCGTTAGAAAGTTGAACCCTTCATACCGCGGTTGAACGAGGGGGGTTAAACTCGAGCAGAAGAGAGGGTTGACGCGTGGTCGTGCCGTTAACACGCTCCGTCGCGTCCTGGCTTTATCTGTCGTACCGCGGAACACGTGACCTCTAGTTGATTTTACCGGCCTGCCGTGGCTTTTTAAGCACGGGACACGAAGCGCACACGCGCACCCTTCTAATGCGCGGCAGGTGTGCACGTGACGCAGCCCGCCTCGCTGGAACGTTTAATTTATTGTTAATTATACGATACGCGATGGCACGCGCAGCTGCCGCGCTTTTTCGCGCTGAAACCGGGACACTTGCTCTTCGCGCTCGCCGATTCCGTAATGGATTAGGTTACTTTTAGTCTAAGAGAATTTCCAAATTCAGATTCAGTATTTAATGGTAATTAATAAGTATATATATATGTTAATTTGTATTACTCAGATTTTATCAAAGCACGTGGGAATATATAAAATATAAAAGATATTCCGAGGAGAGAAAAATTTAGCCAAATTAAAACGCGGTTGTTTCAAAGATACTTTATTAAATATAAACCAATCGAGATAGGATACCGACACGACGGGTCTCAGAGAGTAAAGCCTGTAGGCCTCCGAAACGATAGGGGTAGCGATTAAGATTAGTAACGTAGGATTAAGCCGGAATCCCGATCGAAGTTCACCAACCTCTTCTCTTTTCCCAGGGCACATTCTCGCTGATAGTGGAGGCTTATCACGACGCAGACAACACGACACACCACTCAGCCGGTAAGTAACCTTCTCCCCTGCTCGCTCGCTCTCTCGTAACTCTGTTCTTTCTCTACAATCTCCTCCTATTAAGCCTTTCCCAAAGATACTGGCTACGCGCGTGTATCTGGTCTCTGCAGCGTACGACGTGCACGCGTGTGCGTCCGTGTGTATCGGTGGCACGAGTGCTCTCTCGCACGCGTTCGCCATAAAAAAAAGAAGAGAAAAGGATGGCGCGGGAGAAAAAAGACGAACGAAGGATGAAAAGAGAGAGGGGAGGAAGGATGATATTTTAAAATTAGTCCTCTCTATGTATGGCTCTAAATGCGGGAAGGTTTCGGAAGGTTTCCGAGGCATGTGCAATCCAGCTGGGTCGTGGCCCCATGCGCATTGGGTCCGAAAACCAGTCGAGAACCCACTTCCGGTCTCGCGCACTCTGTGCACCAGCACTCCGCCAGAGACACACGTAACCTCCTCCTCCTGCTCTTCTTCTTTCACACGGCCACCGCAGCTACTTCTTTTCCTCCGAAGAGTACGGTTTCGATAGACTAAACCTCCGGCAGAGGACAGGTCGCTTCCGGTGCGGCTGCTCGTCTCCGCGGACAAATATTGCCCCCTTTTTTTCTGCTGATGCTGCGGTCCCAAGTTATCTGGTTCCCTCTTTTTGCCGTCGATGCCCTTGCCGCTTTTGACAGATCGGAAACAACGCTTCCTCCTAAGAAGTTGTTTCTCAGTGTTTACGTTGATTGACGTAAATCGATTTCTATACGATAACTTCCTTTTGATATTGTCAAGAATCGAGGAAATTGGCTCATGTCTTGCTATTGAGAAATACTCTCTAACGAAATGAGGATGAAAGGTCTTTCTCTCGTAGTCCAAACCTCTTTTTTTTTTTCCATACTCACGGCAAATTAGGATGTAGACAACATTGAATCAATAGTCGCAGCTGCTGTCTCTCCGGGTTTTCCTCTTCATATGGGTGGTTTGTTCTCTCGACCCGTTTTCTTTCAGTCGCGTTTCGTTGCTCATTACCGCGACGCGACGCGTCCACGTGCACAAAGTGGTCGGTGCCGTTGTGTCATAAGCATATAGGCGTACAGTATATAGAGTACGTACAATAACGCCAGAATGAGGGAAAGAGAAGCGGCCGGAGGCGCTAGTGTTTCCTTCCTGTGTAACCGTAGCACCTAGCTTCCAGCAACACGTCACGGTAACACGAAACCCTCTGTGGACGAGGATATGGACGTATCCTATGCTAACCCGGGCCCTCTTCTCTCGCCTATTGAACCTCTTCTACGCTAGCCGATACCTATACGTACGTACGTCGACGAGGAACGCCGGAAATCCTTGATATCTCTTCAGATCTTTCTCGTGTCATCAATCGCATTTTTCCTCTCCGCACGTCCGAATTTTACAATTGTGTACGTTGTAATTTGCGCAATCTGTGATACTATGATTTTCGTCAATTTCCGTCGCGGTTGGTATAACCACGGTACTTGCGAACGCGATAATCGTCGCATAATTTCGAGACACGGCATTCCCTCGTTAAGCCATACGCCTCTCCGGGAAAACGGGCAAGCAAATAACTCCAGGGCGGGAATATTTATTGCTTCCGTATCCGGGGAAAGCTCGGCGATCGGTTGGATAAAGAATTAAATGCTCGATTCCCCCAAATTTAATTACACGACGTGGAATCGAGAACGTTCGACTCCATTTCGCATGCACATAGGAGCAGGATCGACGATCAAGTGGGATCCCAGCTTAAGTATAAAATGAAGTGGGTGCGCGCACGAGCGACATGCATGAGAGCGCTACGTATAGCTTCCGGTTCATTCTAATTACTAGCCAGACGCGCACAGGACCCCGGGAGGGAAATTAAAGCGGTCTCGCTCTTCTTGCGACGGCGACGCCTCGCCTCGATCTTGAAACCGAAGGGACCCACAGTTATTACAATGAGTCGTAGACTTTCATACAATGTCGATTAAAACTCTCGTGTTATAACACGTTTCACTTGTGTCACCTTACGGTAAATTTATGGTTAAAAAAAGGGCAAATTATGGGTGCTACTTAAGGATGTATTGGCTATACAGACAATCTCAAAAGTTTATGTATTTTAGAAAACCCCTTGAAAAATCTCGAAAAATGCTTAAAATAAAAGTTGTTTTTCTTCTAACTTCGATATTTAACGAGTTACGTATGATTATTTGGCATTTTGTTGATGTTGACAAAATCCGACCATTCCACCGTCGAAACGGCGAACTTTTGGAAAAAATTTCATTTTTCCTTAATTACTCCTAAACCGTTGAATCTACGGGAAAATTGGATAGGACCTTTCTTGTAGAGGACGACGAGATCTACACTTTCCATGTAAATATTTTTCGCTAGCATTAATATTTAACGAGTTATGAGCGAAAAACGAAAAAACAGTTTTTTGCAAATTACTCGTTAACTACTGGTGTTAGCGAAAAATTTTTACATGGAAATTGTAGATCTCGTCGTCCTCTACAAGAAAGGTCCTATACAGTTTTTCCGTATGTCCAACGGTTTGGGAATTATTGGCCAAAAACGAAAATTTGGAAGAAATTGAAGGGGGTACCCCTTGGAAAAATCGAAAATTTTTTGTTGTTGTTTATTATTAGCAATGTTCTTCCGACGTCTGATTTCTTTTAAAAAAATGCGTTTCTAAAGTGCATAAACTTTAGGGATTGACTGTATAGCCAATATATCCTTAAATTTTATTCGAGTCCTTACGCGCGAAGTCCACTTACACGAAATAACCTTCGAAACTTTTTAATTAAACATCTTCCGGTGTTCCGCGAACGAACTTCCTAGTCCCACAGGGGACGTCTTTAGCTCGGGCTTCAAAAAAACTTCCGATCCCAGCAGTCGAAGCGGCTAATTGCGAAGGAAATCGAGCTTGGCTTCCTTTGTTTCAAGCGTGGTCGTGAACGGAATTCTTACCGTTATTCCACAGATGTACCTGTCCAGTGCGGTGTGGCGCATCCGCGGCTAAAAAACGCATCTCTCTCCACGCATTTTAATATACGGCGTACGCGCGCACCTTTTTTTGTCTGTTTGAACACACCGTTGGGACCCTTTTATTGCCGAAAACACACCGCTCACATTGTGTATCGCCGCGCGTACAATATAATGCCCCCAACGCGCTGAAACGAGCCCTTTATTGCCGTTCGGATGCTGCTTCCTTTCTCAGGCCTACACCCTCCATCCTTCTCTCTTTCGCTCCCAGCCTGCTCTCTTTTTCCTCTCGCACCGCGATGTTTGCCGGGGTAAAGTTGAAGATACGAATGTCGGGAACTGCACCTGCACCGCGAATGATCGCCGGAATTGTTCCTGGTTCCGTTCCGCTGAGACAAATTGAGTATGCGTTAACAACCAGGGAAAGAATAATTAAGGACCTGTCATATTATTTTATATTTTTATTCTCCTAATTATTATCGTTGGTATTATGCTACTGAAATATGAAACGAAATGAAATTAATGATGTTTCATGTTATATATATGGATGGTGTTAGATCTTTAGATTCTATCAATTTTTATTTTAAAAATCTGCAGTCCAGCAAGATTACGTTTAAAACCGAGACGTTTGTGTGACACGAATCTCCGGTTTTCCTTTCATTCATTGAACGTAGGCGTCAGGATGAGCCAGGGTCCGTTTGTGGTAACGCGGTTCGTTAAACGAAACAAGACGCGGCTAGATTTACGAGGGAGCGAGAACTTGGTGAGCTTGCGGTGTATAGAGAGCATCGTGAACGGGACCCGGGTGTAGCGAAGAGAGGATAGGGCTTACGTCATCGTCGATTGTCAACCGCTCTCGGTCGCTTTTCCCTTTTGCTCTGACCGCGACACGGGGGACGCACCGCGTGTGTGTGTGTGCACGTGTGTTGAAACGCGGCGCACCTGCCCTCGAAATGCTCACGATAATGAGCCAGCGGAGTGAATAATTAGTCCGCGTGTTTCGAGCCGTGATAACGTCGAACGAGCTGCGACGTCTTTCCTAGAACAACAGTTCGTCGAATCGACGATTAAGTTGAAAATTAGCATACGTTGCATCGGTTACTCGTGGGAATCTGTAGAGTTAGAATTTTTATCTTCAATTCGGAGCAATTCGTGTAATGAATAATACTTTTTTAAGTATCAGTCAAATTTAATATGAAATCGATGCTAGATTCTTAAAATTGGAAAACAGATTGGTATTTCATTCATGATATTTATTAGAGATAAGCTGCTCTACTAGCTTAGATAAATAGACCACAATATAAAATACTGTAATACGCGATACCGCGAAGCTAATTCAATACTAAATGTCAATCGGTTGAGCCAAAGCTTCTCGGCTTACAGTAATGCCACAACTCAATACGATCGTAATCGGAAGTAAGCCTCCGAGCAAATCGTATTAGTAACGTGCTCCATCGATTCCTCTCGTTGCGACTACAGCAACTTGTTTCTACTGGCATGATAATGTTGACCCAAAGTAGCCGAAGGGGTTGATAGGCGCGATTCCCGTTTGATAGAGTTTTTTCCACGATAGACGCGAACGGAGGGCTTGCGAGTAATGCATCTGGCTACCTGCCAGCTCGGGGCTATTCTTCGACGGCCGCTCGTTTCTGAATGAACAATAGAAAATGTCTGACTACTCCGCGGCGCTCCGCGTTGCCGAGCCGCGTCGTTAATGAATACCTTGAATCGGTCTGGCCTCGAGTTCGTCGGGCGTTTTACAGGTGCACACGCAGCTAGCGTACACGCACTCGTTCCTTTCTTCGACACTGGAGAAACATCCATTTCGTTTGTTGCTTAACTTATTGTTAACGCTTCGATCTCGAGGAAGTCGATCATCAGATTCTCCTCAGATACGTAGCCACTTATGTCATATTCTCGTGTCGTGTCACCGTCACGTATCAGTGCTGCTTGCGTGCCATTTATAATACCGTTCATAAGTATTGTGGTTATTGTAAAACGAACACAATTATCATTTCAAGTAAAATTGACTGGCTCTATTAAGGAGTCTTCTCAGATTTATGAACACGAGTATACGTACAATAATATATCGCTTGTTTCTTCTACGTCTTTCATTTTACAGTTTGCTATTCTGATTCTAGTATAATATGAGCATTTTTGAATGAAAGATCATGTCTGCGCATTTGATAATGCTCGAAATATTTGGCTATTAAATCCTGATCCCGGTGCGTTTCGTTGATACGCAGGCATTAGAGACGGAGGCTCGCGCGACTACGATCCAATCCGCGCATATACGCGAGCATGAATAATTCCGTTTTAATGAAACGATGTTTAATGCATGAGCAAAATCCGCAACACGTACACAGGAAACAATAGGGTGTTTCTCGTTAACGAAGCCCAGGAAATCAGTTCCTCGATACGTAACATTTTCAACGTAAACAGACCGCTTAAGAACCGTTTTTTCTTTCTCCTTCCTTTTCTGCGTGCTTAAAAAGAATCTTAACCCCACAGCTAGGCCTTGATGGACTGCAGATTAAATAAAATATAAATGGTATCAGTTTAAAAATGTCCTTTAAATGGAAATTTCTTTGGTCATTATTTTGTTTTTTATGTTTTGTATATTTTTATATACATTACATTTAATTATTTTATATACGAATAACATTTGCAGTCTAGTCCTTGAATCTGCCCCGTCATCTAATCTAAATCATGGCGATAGTGAAGGTCAATGAAAAATTCTCGAGCCGTGCGAATTGATACCGAAAAACGGGCAAGAACCGAGAGCAAAAGCGAAGAAGCATAGCGGAGTCGATCGATTTTACACACGCGTCCATCTGGTTTGCTTTGATCGTGGCGTGCGAACATCGGCGTTTTCAGAACTCGTAACAGCATCACCTGGGAAGATAGGCCTGGCGAAACTGCCTCTCCCTCAACTCCCGTTTCGCCGACAGCAAAACGTTACTTCCCTTCTGGGAAGAGAGACCCCTGGGTGGGTATCCACTGCTTAAGTATCGCCGGACACGCCATCGGCGAATCCTACGTCTCGCCCTTTTGTTTTTACGTCTTCCTTTTTCTCTTCGATCCTCTGCCGTTCTCTTTTTTCTTTTTTTTTTAATCCACCTCTATAGGTGATCCTGTGTTTTATCGGTCGTCAATTATTTCTATTTTCCCGCCGGTCGACGCGGTGTTAATACAATTATTAAATCGGAAAGAGGACTTCTTTTGTGCATTCGCACTTGCGTACCATCGTGATCATGATTCAGAGGTATTTTAAGACCGAGTCACTCTTCGATGAGAAAAGACGTTGTTCTTTTCTACAGCATCGATCTGTAGTTTCCGCTTCAGCAGTCAGTGCCTGGTGTTCCACGGTGCAAAAAGTAAAGAAAGATCGGTGCTCTCGAAATTCAGCCGAGTTTCAAAAATAGACCCCCATCGATTGTCGGGGCCGGTCGCTGGGCGAACCGTTCATTAGGGGAGGCTCTCGGGAACCGAAACGGGGCGAAAGGGAAAAAAATGAAGGAGAGGATGAGCAGAAACACGGAGGCTGACCACTTAACTCTTCCTTACGCTACCGAGCAGAACGTAACCATACAGCACGGCCGATACTACTCGACCCATTTGCCCGGTGCCAGAGGCTCTCACACGCACGAAAATGGTAAACTGGTCCGACAGGCTGCTGGTGCCTGGACCTTGTGCATCGTGAGACGGGGCTTTTACGACGGGGCACCTGACCGGTAGGCAGGACCATACGAGATAAACAAGGACCAACGTATCTCTAATCTGTCCGGGCCCATTACGATAATACGTTTAGCGGGAAGTCTTAGCCTTACGCCATCACAAATAACGCTGAAAACGAGATCTGAAATCGTTTAACTAGTCCCGAGGGAAGGATTAACTTCTGTTTCATCTAAATGTAGTCACAGTCTTTAAGTTCTTGATCTAGTTAATTGTCGATGCTTATCCAACATTCATCCACTTGTCGCGTATTCCTGCTAGCGTGTTTATGTTGATCTATATCAGATCCGAAACCTGTTGTTGATCTACGTGCGAACTGTACACACCAGCTTACTAGTCGTCAAAATTGCCGCTTATTTCATTCATGGTTGACAGCAATTATCACACGTCAATGAAGGCTTGATCGTTTCTTACTCTCACTACGTTCTCTCTCTTCACATTTGAAATCTTCACTGGGACACGAGTTCGAATCTTGGCTACGAGATTCGAGCGTTTGGTCTGTATTCTTCTTCCTCCGGTCGTGAAAACAGGTAGAGGAAGGAGAGAAAACGTGGAAGAGAAGGAGTTAGCCATGTCGGCGGTGGAGAAGGAAGAAGAGAAGAAAAGAAGAACGCCTCTTTCCCAGAGAGCCACAACGTGGTATACGCTTACTCTCTTTGTGCCGGATGCGTGCCGCCGGCGGAGTAGCAATAGCGGACGAACGTCCGGTCTGCCTTCTCTCTCCTTTAACCTCCGTCGCGGTCCCACTCGCTCGGAGGCCGATGCACTTCGATCGCATCATTGGGCGCAGCACCTAACGCCCCGCATTACTATGTACGCGTGTACATATGTAGATACGTGGATTAGTACATGCCCTACTGATGGACATGCTTAATTACTTCTACGTGCTGACGTGACCTTTCTTCTATTCGATATTCAGTTCGTTAGCAGACTGGATTTTATGAATTTATGGAAAAATTGTATCTGCAGAAGATTCGAATGCATGTGATTCATGAATTGAATGTTCGCTTAAATACTGAAAGGAAATATAAAATCGATTATCCTAATTCCTTTCTTCTTTCTATCATCTGTCTGGATTGATTTAGTTTGTACAATTGTTGTGTGAATGATGTTCGAGCATGTGCGACAATTGAGAATACTCTTAGGGGAAACAATGGCACCCTGGAACGTGTCGGAGTCAATGGGTGGTAAATTGAAATTGATTTCTACCGGGGAAACGGTGGAGTTAATTGTACCGTATCGGTATGGGTGAATCTGATGCTGACTGTGACTAATTCAATTTTCATCTGTATTTCCCAACGAAAAGTTCAATAAGGAGTAGACAATTTAACGATACAGTAATTATTTATTGTCCTACTTATAAATAGACTGCGGATTTTTATTTAAAGAATAACAATTAAAAAATGCGTCTCAAGTAATTTTTTATCATTTAAACATTGCAATACGTATTCACTTTTGATATCGTATAGTTAGTATAATTTTGTTACAATTGCATAAAATCCACAGTCTATTTATGAGATTTATGCTTACTTTCCTGGCCTACAAACAATTTAATTGACCTAATGAAGATTCATACCTCTAGAAAAAAAACTATAGCGAGAATAAATTTGTATTTCCAGAGAAAGTACTGATACTGAGGCTGACCACACAAAAGTGGCTGGATGTGGGGACGGATTGGACTGTGGATGAGTACAGCAGTGCGCACGCGAAGATGGTTTACGAGTACAGGGTGACATGCGTCGCGCACTATTACGGAAAGGGTTGCGAGAACCTGTGCAGGCCAAGAGATGACAACTTCGGTCATTACAGTTGCAGCCCGACCGGGGAGCGTGTCTGCCTCTCTGGATGGAAGGGCGACTACTGCAACACTGGTGAGTCTCTCTTCCATGTGTTTCCGTATACGAAGCAAATTTTTATCAACATCAGACTGCGGGCTCTGTGCATTTATAGAAAAATCGATGCACAAAGTGGAATTCATGAAAATATAAAAAATATCGAAAGTTGATAAAAGAAATTTATGTATAAAATGGATTTTTTTTTAACGTGCATCATAAATGTTCTATTTTGCATAAAAGTTCGCAGTCTAATTATCATATACACGCGGTAACGTGCGTGCGTGCACTCCCACGTTTGCCATCGCGACTGCACCGCGCGTGACATCCCTCCTTTTGTAGGAATTCCGATAAAATCGATTATCCTAATTCCTTTCTTCTTTCTATCATCTGTCTGGATTGATTTAGTTTGTACAATTGTTGTGTGAATGATGTTCGAGCATGTGCGACAATTGAGAATACTCTTAGGGGAAACAATGGCACCCTGGAACGTGTCGGAGTCAATGGGTGGTAAATTGAAATTGATTTCTACCGGGGAAACGGTGGAGTTAATTGTACCGTATCGGTATGGGTGAATCTGATGCTGACTGTGACTAATTCAATTTTCATCTGTATTTCCCAACGAAAAGTTCAATAAGGAGTAGACAATTTAACGATACAGTAATTATTTATTGTCCTACTTATAAATAGACTGCGGATTTTTATTTAAAGAATAACAATTAAAAAATGCGTCTCAAGTAATTTTTTATCATTTAAACATTGCAATACGTATTCACTTTTGATATCGTATAGTTAGTATAATTTTGTTACAATTGCATAAAATTCACAGTCTATTTATGAGATTTATGCTTACTTTCCTGGCCTACAAACAATTTAATTGACCTAATGAAGATTCATACCTCTAGAAAAAAAACTATAGCGAGAATAAATTTGTATTTCCAGAGAAAGTACTGATACTGAGGCTGACCACACAAAAGTGGCTGGATGTGGGGACGGATTGGACTGTGGATGAGTACAGCAGTGCGCACGCGAAGATGGTTTACGAGTACAGGGTGACATGCGTCGCGCACTATTACGGAAAGGGTTGCGAGAACCTGTGCAGGCCAAGAGATGACAACTTCGGTCATTACAGTTGCAGCCCGACCGGGGAGCGTGTCTGCCTCTCTGGATGGAAGGGCGACTACTGCAACACTGGTGAGTCTCTCTTCCATGTGTTTCCGTATACGAAGCAAATTTTTATCAACATCAGACTGCGGGCTCTGTGCATTTATAGAAAAATCGATGCACAAAGTGGAATTCATGAAAATATAAAAAATATCGAAAGTTGATAAAAGAAATTTATGTATAAAATGGATTTTTTTTTAACGTGCATCATAAATGTTCTATTTTGCATAAAAGTTCGCAGTCTAATTATCATATACACGCGGTAACGTGCGTGCGTGCACTCCCACGTTTGCCATCGCGACTGCACCGCGCGTGACATCCCTCCTTTTGTAGGAATTCCGTGTATGAAATTACAGAGACGACGATCTCTCTGACGATGCACAAGTGTTCTCTCTCTCTCTCTTTCTCTTTCTCTCTCCGTTCATCCCTTGCCCCGTGCGGCAATGTGTCTCGCGTTCTGACCATCAAGTAATTTATACTGTTCGCCGGTAACCCGAGTGGTCCTCAAATTTAGGAGATTTTTTCTTAGAGGTCGATGACGATGACACTTGTAACGCGATGGAAATTGTTCAAAAATTCATAACCTTTTTTTTATTAGAGAATTCCATATAGAAGTGTCCAAGTTTATGCGGTTACGTAGCGATTTGTTAAAGAGGGATCGAGAAATAAGACTATAATTCGTTTGAAAATAGTCGCGTTGATTCCGAGCAGAACCCAGTTCTCTCGACGCTTATATAACATTCACTCCAGGACGTTAGTCCATCGCGACGGTAACACAACAGACCGTGTATATACATAGTATATAGAGAGCGTTCCACTCTATTCTCGTTCGTAGCACGAAACTCGACAAACTCGACGAGTCCACGAAGGAGAGGCCCGGTGCAGTGTCGGGTCCGAGCGTGCAGCAGCTTCCCACGCTTTGCTCGCTCGCGCGTGTGTCAGAGAGAGAGTAGTCTCCCTTTCTGCTCCGTTCTGGTCCCGTCTGCTGCACCTCTTTCCACTTCTCTCTCAGCTGTACATATAACCGTGTCCGTCTACCCTTCTCTGTACGTGTACGCTCCCCCCCCCCTGGCCGTTCGTCTCCTGCATCCACGGCATCCTCTTTGTCGCTCGTTCCTCGCGTACCTGAACGTCTCAGGATTAATCTATACGTACGTGTACGTGTGCGTACACACGCACACACGCACACCGATCAAATCGTCTGTGCCTACGTTCCTCGTGCACGTTAACGCTTGTGCGCGCATCAAACCTCGTGTGTGGCTCCTTCAGTCCTCGCTAGGCTCGTCTCCTTTCGTGCATCTGTGTAGGTGTACGTTCGTACATACAGAGAGATCAGCCTCAAACGGGACGTATTCCGTACGTTCTTGATGCCTCTAGTTTACGACGAGCAGGTTACGCGATGCAGCTGGTGCAAGGACCCTCTCTCTGATCTTTGTGTCGGGCTTCGCTCCGTTGTTGAAAGTTCATCGCGTTTTTAACAGGTGCTCTCAGGTTCTATTGTGTGTTTCGTACGATTTTCATAAGCCACTGAACTTTCAAATCCTGAGAGATTTCAAAAAATTTATGAACGATTTAATTATTTATATTTGTCTCGTATGAGAAATCGGCTTTTAACGCAGAAACCGCGAGTCTTAATTCTCTTTTGTTCGCGGAGATTATTTTCTTTTTTGACTAGACGCGAACAAGCGTTGGAAGGATGGATTTGAATGGAGTCCCGGGATTTCGCAAGGGTTCGCGCGCGGGAGGCAAACGCGCCTTTTCTCTCCCCCGACGATGGCATCCAAGATCGAGATCTCGTTTTACTTCCTTTGCCAGCGTGCCAAGTTATCGCATTCCCCGTCCGTGGCCAACATTCGAGGGAACTTGTCGCCACGGGAATGGCATTCGCCAATTTCGCCACTATTAGGTCCACTTAAATATTTTTATAGTCGGATAATCTAGTATTTTTCATTGCAACCGTCTGAATTCCATTGACAATACTTTAGGAGCAATCATGTTCTGTTAAGGGTTAACGAATTTTGCGAAGATAAATTGTGTACTGCTTAGGGTTTATTTTCGTATCACGTCGATGCTCCAAGCATATAATCGGACTCGATGCGGTTTAGATCGGAGCTAACAAACTCTTGTAACCCTTTAAGCTTAAAGAATGTCTGGAGAGGGAAACAAAGCATTTGAAAGTCGACCTTCTCCTAATTTACCGCGGCTCGTGACGATCCGCGATAAAGAGTATCAAAGTCTTTCGTGTTCCCGTGGTCTCTCATCGTCGATCGGTCGTTGCACTCCGGTGTGCTCGAGCACAGTACAGCACAATATACGGAGCCGCTCGACAAAGTTCCTCCGCGCATTGATTACTAATAGACTACTTACTCTTCATTTCGTGACATTCCCGAGCATTCGCGGAATCGCCAGTTCGTGCGTTGGATTTCACGACGGACCCGCGTGTTCGTCCTCCGTCTGTCCGTTCCTTGATTACGTTCTAAAATGTACATCCACTTGTACCGTGTCCTCGTGTCATACCGTTGTGTGCGTACCATGTGCACCTTCGATTAGAAGTTTCAAAAAGGATGCGTGATAAGTCAATAAGGATTGTCATTTTAAATAACATCTTCTAATGAAAAACAAATTAATTTATTATATTTCATTATACTATTTATTTGTTCTTTATTTTATTTGGTTTATCGCTTATCCGTTCATAATGACACGCAACGGTGATACGATACAAGTGGATACGCGTGTTTAGGTCGTTGACGACACGTTGCAGGAGTTTTTGCAGAAGCAACGAACGATCGCAGGCCGATCTGTTCTCACGTGCGCACGACTAAGCGCACACCCACGCCACCGTTTCCAGGATTTTCGCCGCCTTCCTGTTCGTCGCACGCCTCCCGCGCCATTCCCGCCGCGATGAGAATGGGCCATTGTTGCGATTCGCTGCAAAACTTATCTCGCGTACCGTCTCGGACGCGTGCGAGGTCTATAGATTGAACGATTAAGTCAGTCGTAGGGACGATAGGCGTTGCCACTCGTGGATATCTCCGATTGTTTCGCGCGATTCTCTTGCATCCGAGTACGTGTACAGTAGCTCTTCTATCAAAGGAAATCTGTTTCCGTTCTATTTAACTTACGTTCTCTCAAGTTGACGAGATGACATTTTCAAGAATAATTTAGTTTGCACGTTGAGAGAATTTCGTGACGATGATGCGTCGACTAAAGGGAAAAAATAGATGCCATTTGTCGTGAAGAGGTTTCTGGAATGGTCGTCCCAGTAAACGCGTGTACCGTGTACTTGCGGCTGTGTACTTAGAACGTTTACTCAGCTGATCCGGTGTGTCGGTTCCATAAAAAAGTTGTCCACTTCTCAACGAGGGAAGTAGAAAAATGTGTCGCCCCCCAAGCCACGTACAGTCGACTTTTGCATGCAACCGTTCCCGTTACTTCGATAAACTTAAGGGTACAGAATCGTCACCTCAGTTATTACCTCAAATTACAAAAAGATTTTCAAATGCGCGGACGTAATTTCCAAGCGAAGGGGTTGAACGCAACGGGGCACAGATAGAAAGCGGTTAATCGTTGAATGGAGACACGCGATGAAAGAAAGGAGGTCCCGGCACAAAAACCGTACCCGGAGAGAGCGAGCTATAACATTTAGTACCTGATGATCCTGCAGAGGGGTTAACGAGGCCGGGGGTAGTTACCTAAGGGTAGTTGGGGTGACTGGCAGTCAGGCAGACAGACGCGTTTTCGGGGGTGCCAGGGTGCGCGTTATACACAGGGGTTGTTGCAGTGGCAGCTGCAACGCGAGCAGGCCGAATCGAGCCGAAAGCGACCGAGTGGGCCCTGACAGCTGCACGGAGAGGCCTCGGTGCTTTAACCAACAGCTGCATCGGCCTGACGTTCACAGTCCACTTCCATTTCGATCCCTCCGCCCGCCCCTCCTGCCCCTCGTGGTCCCCGACACTTGCAGTTTTCCACCTTCTTCACCGTTGCCGACCTCTTGTTCGTTTTTTCTTTTCTTTTACCAGCTGAGCTACCTGTGTCCCCGAGTATTCACAGATTTTTCGGAACATCGCGATTGTTTGGTAGGTAACGCGTCAGGTAGAAATAGCGAGGGTAGACCAGGGGAACTCATCGGGACTTATTGTCGGCGTTCTACGAAAGGTCAGGCACGAAACGACGCTGCTTAACAGTCGACTCGTAGAAAAATCGATACGTACGTTGGCCATGGGCTATGAAATTCATTGGAACAGCGAACAGTACACGGGTTCTGTGGACATTTAAACGGAACAAGGGAGACCGGCTTCGTTTGTTTGTACATTTCTTTCCAGGATCGTGAAAAGTCGTAAAAGTTTCCGAGAGAGAATAGTTCGTTGCGTGACGCAGGTTGCGGATTCTTCGATCCCTACAGCTGTTCGATCACCTGACCAATTTCAGTCTATTGTCAACGGAATAACCCGTAGATACGGGACGTTTAAACAGTTTATGGTGCTTTCTTCCATTCCCTCGAATAGATCTGCGATCGACCGTTCAGAGACGTAAAATTGAAGCGGATTTTGCAATATCTTTGAACGGATCAGTTTTGCAATAATCTGGAACGATCTTCGAATACTGTCATCATTCTGTTTGCGATTAACTGACGACGTTCATTCTCCAAGGATTACCACACAGCAACGGAGTAACGTGCTCGATCCAAGTTTAAACTCTTCGTCAGACGTTGCCGTAATCTCGACGTTTAATTCAGGAACATCGGTTTCTATCGAGGCTCGTCTCTTTCTCCCTCTCTCCGTTTCGATTCTTCTTTTTTCGAGGGCCTCGGTGGAATCCGCGCGATTCGAGTATCCCGCGGGATCGGCCAGTCGAAGTCGAAACCCGTCCCTCGTGGTTCTCCACTCTATAAATACCATGCGCTCCTTAGCGCTTCGAGACTGGCGAGAAGCACCGTCAAAAGAGGAGCCGGCTTCGTGGGCCGTTGCGCTCGGTGCCAAGGTCACCAAGGCCCATGTCTACCCTTTCCACTCCTCCCTCCTCTGCTGTCCTCCGCGAGCTTACGGCGAAGGGTTCACCTTCTATCCGGATCCGAGAGTCACCTTCAATCCCTTCATTCAAGAAGACATCGAGCCTCTTTCACTATCGCCTTCTTTTGTCAAATTTCTGACCTGTTTTCCAATTCCCATTATGCGTTCTGATTTCGTGAAATAATAATGCGAATAAGAGGACCTACGGTTTTTATTTCGCTCAGATAGACTTGCGTATTTGTATCTATCAACTGATTTGATTTTGAAGAGGCCACACGAGGAATTTTAGTACCGATTCGAAAATACGTCGACCTCGAATGTTTCCGTTAACGAGATGCAGAAAGGGGCCCCGTCCTGATTTCAAGAGAACGTGCACACGTTTCTGAAAAGCCTCGTTACGAAATCGAATGATCCAAGAACTTCGAGTACACAGAAATGTATTGTCTGGTTTTCATTAGATAGCGCCGTGATGTTAAGTGATTAGAAGAAGATACCATAGTAATAATTCTTAGTGAACAGCGCATAGTAACGTAAGAGAGAATCGGTGGCTAGCAGCCAATACGAGAGACTTTAGATATATTTGCGGACTGGACAAGCTGCCTCGACGCACGTGACACAATTTCATTACCCTTGTCGCGTCATGTGCCGTTATACCGACGATAATTTCCCCTCGTTCAAAGCCTTTTCTTATTCTAATTCACTACAATCGAAACCAACGTTCAACTCGTTTCAATTTGCCATCGATTGTCTCTTGAATTGATTTCGTTAGAACAAACGTTGAAACGAGTTTAGAAAATACATTCAATTCTTTTTTCACCCTCGAAGCGCGCAGTCGGAAAATGTTTTTCGTAACGAGATCAGAATTGACTAATTAGGAAGAGGTCGGTAGCGCATCTAATGTGATAAGATAATCTTCATACGTGACACAATTTTATCATCCTTGTGGAACGCGCTCGCGACCCACCGAGCACCTGGCAACGTATTGTTCGCCGCTGTGTACTTGTATGTAACGTACTACGTGCAGCTATGCAAGGAATCGTGCGGTCAGACTCCTTTCCCATCCAGGATTCCCGGAAAACGGGAGCGATTCGTGGTACATATGACATAAATTTTAATTAGACGATTCCCGGCCATCGGGTATTCGAGGTGTGAACGATCCTCGTTTTCGTGTCCATAAATCCCATGCTGGGGGACGATTACAAAATACTACAATTGTTACATCAAACACCGGTCTACTTATAATACTATTACATTCGTTCTTTTTTTAACAAAACTTTTTTACACGTCATATGTGATTCATTAAAATAATGATTAATGAAGCATGCTGAAAAATTAAAAATAATTGTCGCACAAAATGAGACGATTAATCTCGGGCACATGACAAAAGATGCTCAATATGAATTATGTTTTGAGTGAAATATTTCGAAGAAAGACCATTGTTCGTAATCAGATTGTGCTACAGTAATTTGCCACTACTAAGGTTATTGTAGCCCATCGAAAGCCGATCGATTTTCCGATCGAGTTCGGGGGCAATTTAATGATTCGATTAATGATGATACCGTGGATCCCCGTCGTACACGGATAGAGAAAGAGAGAGAGAGAGAGAGAGGAAAGTGAATTATCGAGTTCGTCCCGAGGTACCCGACTACCTATAGCACCGGAATGCACCGGGATGCATCGGGATGCATCGTATGGTTCGCTCGTGCAGTCGTGAGGGACGCGATCGACCTCTTGCGGAGAGTTGCCTTAACCTTTTCGATTTTTTCTTACTCGTTTCAGCCCGCTGCCTGCCCGGATGCGACGAACTGCACGGACACTGCAATCGACCCGACGAATGCTTGTGAGTATACGCACACTATCATCGAAACGTTTTCTTTCCTCGTCTTTTTCCTCTCCACGTTTCAGAAAGAGCTTCCTCTTCCTCCTCCTCCTCCTCCTCCTCCTCGACCTTCTCTTCTTCTTTACTGATATTACATTCCTGACTCGATACCTGTACGCGGTGTATCATACTCGTACCGCATTAATAACGACGCCTCGATAAACGAGCTTCCCGCGAAAGTTGATCGTTAATGAGTCTAACGCGATCGATGATCAACGCGTGTATTATTAATCGATTCACCGTGAGAAACTCTCGTTTGTCTTGCTCGTTTCAATTTCTTAATACGTAACCGTGCAGATCTATTTGTAAGAAGCTTAGAATTGAATATCGCATTCGCGTATGCAACGCTCAGTATAGATAAGCACAGCTAACTCGTTGGTTGCAAAATTATATTTCATGCATACATTGTATCTTCTCTTCGTAAAAACGCATATCTTGAATTTGCCGTGAAGCACGGAGAAAAAGGCATGCCTTGGAGTTACGCAACCGCTTTGGTTATTAGCATAGCTACCAGTTTTCCACGACCGGGTCGAGGCATTCGATTTTCTTTCACGATGATCGCGCACTGATCATATAGAATATCATCGCCGGTTCACGTTTCCGGGTGTGCGATTCCCTCGTTCCCCTGGAACCGTCGATGATTTCATAGCCGGAGTTCTGTATCCGCGGTCGTCGAGGGGTCGAAATGTACGAAGAGGAATTCGAAGCAGTTGCCGACTCGTTTCCGTAACTGGTACCGAGCATCGATTCTCACTATCAACGGAAGAGTTTCCCTCCTACCACCTATCCTCTTTGTTCAACCCCGAAAAGTCGCGCCTAGTGTCGTTGAACCTTTCTAATTCCACTCGAAACTAGTCAAAGAAGTCCACGGCTGCGGGGTCAGAGATCAAACAAGGAATTTCTGTATTTGTCGGGAATCCTGATCTATAAATACGTTCTCGGAATCCTTTTATCCTACGTCTTTGATTTTCTTTGCACCACGGAAACAAGAGTTCCAATTGAGTCGTTCCAATGGCAAATAATTACTTCATTCGTGAAATAAAAATGTTATTCCATGAATTACAACGTTCGTTCGTAATGGAATTTATTAGAAAGCAACGCTACGGATAAAACAGAGAAATTCCGCGATAATTCCAATCCGTCTTCGCATGGGACTCGAATCTCGGTCCGCGGTTAACCCGAGGTTTAGAGTTAACTCGATCATCTAATTACTGCACGAGACCGGGGTTAATTGTCCCGTTAGCCGCAGCCATCAGTCTCCGGCAACGTTCCCTCGAGGTTCCTCCTCCGTTCGCGTTCCTCCGTTCCCTTCCTCCGTTCCTCCTGTCTTTTGTTTTCGCGATGGCATCATTTCTATCGCGAATCACGGAAAAAGAGCGATATCCTCAAAAATAGCTCGAGGCACCGATCCAGACTTTCGAGGCGCGATGCGCCGGTGCCTCGCGGCTCTTTTAAACGTCCCAGACGACCCGGAATTTATGGGCATGCCATAGACCTCGTAAATAAACAACACCGGAGTCTCTTAAAAGAAACAGTTACAGCTAATAAATTATATGAATATCCTCCAAAATTCATACCGAGGGCTCATCGGATTGATGGAACCTGTTGCAAATCTTATCTTCTCAAACCTTTTGATAAATCCGTAACAGGCTTACTTTAATTCGATTTCTTAAAAGAATTCAATCACTTGTGCTTAATCTTATCAAAATATTTATTATACAATGAATTGAATGAATATATTTTTACATTTTGACAAATTAAAATGTATTGCTATTGGATTTTATAACGAAATTAATCAGTGCATAATATTAAACGATAGTTCTTACTGATTCATTCTATATGACTCGATTTCATTCAAATAGTATATCGAATTTCGTTTGCAAATCACGAGGTTCGATAGAGTCTCGAGTACAGAAATCAGAATCATGCGGTCAGAAATCGCGCGAAGGAAAGGCTAATCCGTTTTCTGGTTGCGTACGAAATAGTCGATATGATCGCTAAAAGCAATTGGCTTAGCGTACAGAGAGCCTCGTGGGATGTTGTTGGCCCCGTTCGTGATACATACGTGAGAGAATCGCGACTACATGGTGTCCCATTGAAATTTCGGAGTTCATCATGCGCGTTTATGGTATCTGAATACCAATGTAGATGCACGACGCACGTCCGCATCATTTTGCCTTCCTTGCTGACATACATGACACATTGACGATCGGTTGTAACATAAGAGATATAAGAACTGTATTTATTATTTTGACGATCCAGCAATTACTTTAATTCATTTTGTTCTATAGAATTTCTAGTATATCTCCCTACTTGTATTTCGAATTCCTCTACCGTCTCTTGGGTCGTCAAAATTTTTTTATCTTTTATTAATGAAGTCGTTAATGCGACAGTGTAATGTTCGTAATAGGAATTTCCAAATTTTTTAATTTCCAAATGTGCACGTCTACCCGGTAGAGTTCGGCTCCGTTTCATTCCGTCTTCCCCGTCTCGGTTCTCGGTTCTCCTCGGGTTCTCTGCTCGTCTTTCTCCAGCGTGCCGCGGCTCTTTCGATTACGCTTCTCTCGTGTGTACACGAGTTTTAATGGTATAGTCATGCGACGTCTCTGCCTCTCTTTCCCTTTACGTGGCCGATGTATAGCGAGCCGTGTATACGTGCATGCAGAGAAAGAGAGAGGCGGATGAGTATTAGTGGGCAGAGCAAGGCGCGCGCACACACAGAGGATGGTAACCTTTCCTTGACCCGCATACTGAACGGCTGTGCCGAGGCTCGAACCGTGGGAACACAACTCGACGACTCGTCTCCCCACTCTCCTTCGAATTCTCTCTTTCTCTCTCTCCCCTCCCTCACTCCTCTCCGCCGTGGCTCTTCCTTCTCTACCCTTCGGTTTCCTCTCTCCCTTTCAACTGGTCTCTCCTGCCTCCTGCTCATTCTATTTGTTTCCTTCCCCCTCGTACCCCCCGTCTTTCTCCGTCTCTTTTTGCTCTGTCTATACGTGTGCGTATCATATCGACACACATACGGGAATATATACGAGCATACAGACACACGTATTTTTCTTGGGCCCCTTTCGTCCCTCAGCGGTGCTCGTTCTCGTTCTATCCTCGGCGAGGACGTCTTTGTCCTTCTTACCTGCGAAACCCCCTTGGACGTAATGGCCGACCACCATATCCTCCCGTGTCGCGGATCCAGCTCCTTTCTATACCTTCTTCTTCATCTCGTATCCTCCTCTTGAGCTCCGCGGCTTTTAGCCACCTTCGCGGATCCCTTCTGTCGCGACGAGTTACTTTGCTCTCTACCGTTTTTTCCTTCCGTTCGTTTTTCATCCCCCCCCCCCTCCCCTTCCTTTCCTCTTTCTCGCGTTTTTGTAGTCCGTCGAAACGATCGGAGTAAAGTTCGCGATCGTGAAACTTGGCGTAGAGACGGGGTTCAACAAGAATGCAGACAATATGGAAAGTCTCGTTTGAAAAATCTTAAAGTGAAACGAGTAAAAACTTGTGAATTGCATTGAACTTTTTTTATACAGGATTCTAAGAACTTCTTATAATTAGGTAGTAAAATAGATCTAGGATCAGTTTGATCAACGGGACAGATGATGAACCCACGCTCTGTCCTTCCTTGAAATTACTTCTCAGGAAGGATCGATTAGTATTTAACGATCGAAGTAATTAGAGTCCACTGCTCGTTACACCTCCGCCGCCTGTGTATGCGTACGACGTATCAGTATGCTCGTAGAGAGTCATCCGGTATATGAAGCTCTGTTACTTGAAAACGGTGATTCCTCCTCTATTTTGTTGCGGGTCTTCTATCCCGTTCCGTCATTTTTCATACGCATTTAACGAGGTCTTTGACATTCGACTTCGACTAATCTTCCACACCGCCAGGTTATCCTATAATTTCAAACGGAAGAATAAATTAAAGTGGTAGATCGATTTAAAAGTTTATTAACTATTCGCTCGAAACGTCGTTCTTTTCATATTTCCTGTCATCTATTCCCTATTATTATCGGCTTTAGGTACCATGTATTTTCGAATTGAAGAGTTTCTCCTCCGAGTAGCGCAGCAACGCGAAAGGAAAGCCTTCCGTGTTGCCGAGTACCACTTTCTCCTGACAGTCTTCCTCGTGCCAAACCGCGAAGAAAAGATCGAGGTGGTCGCTAACAAGAAACATCTTTCCTCGGTTTCAGATGCCACAATGGGTGGAAGGGAGCGTTCTGTGACCAGTGCCTGCGATACCCTGGCTGTCTTCACGGTAGCTGCCAGAAACCCTGGGAGTGTCTGTGCGACGAGGGCTGGGGCGGCCTCTTCTGTAACCAGGATCTGAACTACTGCACGAATCACAAACCCTGTCTGAACGGTGGCACCTGCTTCAACACCTTTAACGGGCAGGGCTTGTACACCTGCTCGTGCGCGCCCGGCTTCAACGGCACCAACTGCGAGAAGCCTCTCCTCGACTGCGACTCGAATCCCTGCCTGAACGGCGGATCCTGCTCGATGGAACCATCCTACGGGAACTCGAGCCAATCTACCGCAGTCGCGTCGAAGGACTCTTCCGCAAGGCAATCGCATTACCGTTGCACCTGTCCACCAGGTTGGCGGGGCAGGCATTGCGAGATCACCTCGAGATCCTGTCGAGATTCACCCTGCCATCACGGAGCCATCTGCGAGGACGATTCCCTCCACGGTTACGTGTGCCGCTGCCAGCCCGGGTTCACCGGGAACGACTGCGAGTCTCAGTTGGACCAATGCTCGCCGAATCCTTGCTCGAACGGCGGCACCTGCAAAGACCTCGGGAACAGCTTCCAGTGCACGTGCCCGGCTGGTTTCAGCGGCGAACGCTGCGAGACGAACATCGACGACTGTCAGGGCGATCCCTGTCTGAACGGCGGTACGTGCGTGGATCTAGTCAATCAGTTCCGTTGCCAGTGCGTGCCCGGGTACGTCGGCAGACTGTGCCAGGACAAGGTCGACTACTGTTTGACGAAACCGTGCGCGAACGGCGGCCGATGCATATCCTGGACGAACGACTACCGTTGCGCGTGCAAGCCCGGGTTCACCGGGAAGGATTGCAGCGTGGACGTGGACGAATGCGTGAGCGCGCCGTGCAGAAACGGCGGCACGTGTCTGAATCGGGTGAACGGGTTTCAGTGTCAATGTTCGGAGGGTTGGCACGGTGATACCTGTTCGGAGAAAGTCGGTACCATTATCTTACCGACTGCGATAGCCGCCACGAATTCGCCGACGAACGCGGTCGCTGTTCCCGCCGTGCCACCCTCGGGAGCAAGTTATTGGTCGGGCAATCTGTCCAGGCATGTAGCTTCCGCGTCTGCGGAACCTAGAAACGCGGGACTGACCACCGAACACGTGGTGGTAATAGCCACCCTGTCGACGGCCGTACCAGCGTTCGTTTTGGTCGCCGCTGTCGCCGTGATGTGCATGAAGAGGCGACAGAAGCGGGAACAAGCTAAGGCCGACGAAGAGGCCAGATTGCAGAACGAGAGGAACGCTGTTCACAGTAGTATGAGTAAACGCAGCGGTGGATTGATGAGCGGCGTCGGTGGCGGCGCAGGCTCGACCGGGAGCACCGGCGTCGGTATCGGAAACGTGGGCTTGTTAGGTGGAGGTGGCAGCGGAATGATAAGCGGCAACGGCGGCAGCGTGTGCACCCTAGGCGCTGGAGACGCGCACATGATCAAGAATACATGGACGGCGAACAAGAGCGTGAACAACGCGGCGTCGGCAAGACAGGACGACCTCGACTCGTCGTTTCAAACGGACGTCACGCTGGACAGCTCCTGCTCGGGTTACAAGCCGGAACCGGTGCTGCAGGACGGTCGAACGCGGACTACGAAACAACTGAACACGGAGGCGGCAGCGCACAGGGCGTCGCACTTGTTCCAAAAGGAGAAGGACTGTTTGTCGGGCCTCGGGCTGGGCATCGGGGTGATCGAGACCTCGAAGAGGTCGTCTGTGTTCGCGGGCAACGCCGCGACGGACAGCTGTTGCGCAGAGGCGGCGTTGCTCAAGAGGCCGACCACCATCGCGGAAGGTGGAAGCGGTCCACCGGGAAGTGGAGGTGGTACCGAGTCTTCCGGCTGCGGAGTGTACGTTATAGACGATCACTACAGGCACGACGCGTCGCTCGCGGCGACGCTCGCGACGGAAGTGTAGTTCCACTCGCCACACCCGCCGAATGTTTGTTAATTATAAAATATAGTGTAGAAGAGAGCCGGCAGCCAGACTTCGCGCGACGGACTCTGTGTAACTAACGAAAACGAGCGGACATTCTTTTTTCCTGTGTGACCGAAGTACATGCTGTGCGCGTCTCCCCTCGTGTGCGACTCGCGCGTCTAAAGGTGGATTCCCATTTGTCGGGTGTTTATTTTCAATCGCGTACCGCGTGCGATTTGTTCGTCGACTGAGACCCCACCTTCGGAAGAACTCTTGTTTCCCTCTGGATAATATTCGTCGCGTACCATATTCCGCGTGCAACCACCGAGCTATGTCCACCCACCATGAGAGGAACAACACGCGTGCGTCTGTTCGCGCGCACGCACAGTCATCAGGAGCGTGTGGCTGCTCTTCTCCGTTATGGGCCAGCGCAGCGGTGAACGGGCGTGCGTTTTCTTCGCGATTCCTTTGTTTCTCTCCCTACTCGGGACGATGCACGTCGCTCGTGAGAACCGGACTCTACCACAACGATGACGATTGTCGTTGTCATTGCCGCTAGCGAGAGGAGTTGATCCTCCGTTCCTTCAGACGTCGGTGACGTGGATCAGAGGAACGCGCGAGACAGAGAGATACAGCTCGCTCCTGCGTATGGTATTGTACAGAAGAAAACAATTTTTACCGAGGAACGACGACGAAGAAGAAGATTAGAGGACGAAGAGGAAGAGAGAGACTCTGTCGGGAGTGTGGAGTCGTGCAGCAGGGGAGCGAAAACCGGGAATATTATTATAAATATTACACGAAAATGCTGTGGAGGCGGACGACGACGACGGATTGATCGAATCGTCGTTCGACCTGTTCTTAGGTATGAATATTATTATGTATTATCAATACCCGATGCGGAAACTTTGTACAGAACTAATTTATTATTATTGTTATTTACTATTATCACTATTCGCTATTATTATTATTATTAATATTATTATTCTAATTATTATTATTATTATTAATATTATTCTCTATCGTATCGCATTATCATTGTTCCGATGATTTCTCGATCATCTTCGGATTCTTTTTTTTTTCTATTCTTTTTTCATTTGAAGAAATTTCTACGTTTTCCATTCGAATCGTGTGACTAAAAAGAAACTCATTCGTTTTGTCTCCCTCTTTTTTCTCCGTGACATAATCAGAGATACTTACTTTCGCGTATCGCCACCACGCTTGTACATCGCGTAAACGTGTAAATGTAAATGTATTTTCGCGTGCGGTCGCAGCTTGCATGCATCTCCCGGAATACATGTGCGTGTATAATTGTGTCGCGTGTGTCTTCGATAATAATATGTAACGTGTATATATAATATATATGTAAATGTACATGTCGTATGTGTGTGTACCGTTTGCCCGCGCGAGCAGCAGTCCTGTGAGGTGGAAGAGAGAGAGACAGATAGTTATGGCGAGAGCGAGAGAGCGCGGAATAAAAACTGAGCAGAGAGAAAAGAGCGTTTGTATGTACCGTGCGTATATATATACATACAATTACAAACGAGACAGTCTAACGACGAATTAGGATTCAAACGATGTGTAGCTCCTTCCTCAGATTTTTTCATGTTTCTCTCTCGTTTGCTTCTTTTCGTTCGGATTTCTGCGTTTGACCCGATATCGGTTCCTTTTTCCTTCATCCTTCCATTTCTTTTCCTTCCTTGTTTGGGGCGATGTCACTCGGACCACCGAACGAGGCTTCCGAGGGGACAGCTTCCGGGTCGTTGCGAAGTAACTCTACGTAACAGAAATGAGCTGACCATCCTGCAATCCGGGGCTTTCCTTCCCAATGGCAAACCCGGTTTGCCGGCTGGTCGAGTGCTGACACGTAAATGTCGACTCTCTTGACTCGCTAACCATCTCTGTCATCGTATTAAGCATCATCGAAGGAACGAAAATCGAAAGGTGCATTTTCGAATTTCGTTCTTCTATCGAAGAGTTACCCGACCCGGAAGCCGTGATGATTCCACGAACGGAAACCCGACGGTTGCTTTGGCCGCGCCGCGGATATCGTCCCCAATCATGGGAATGTGACTGAAGTCGAAATTCTTGCACGACAACCAGGCGTAAAGAAAGAACAAACGAATCTTCGAGCATTGATTTTGGTAAGAGCGAAAGGGAAATCTCGTTTATCAAAATTTTCATTGGAACGTAATTCTTTTTATTCTTCAAATTGTATTCTTGAGTGAAATTAGTAGTTTGTAACAATTAAATAGAACTTTTTGATGTTTTATGGAATATTTTCTAATGATTTTTCTATTAAGATCTCCTCTGTTCCAATTTATTTAAAATTATCCCTTATGTAATTCGTATGTTCTCCGACGGTGTGGCACATCACAACTTGCAACAGTGAGACACTACTTGCGATATGTATAAATAGAGATAAATAAAGTGGATAAATAAATGAATATATAAATATATAGATAGAAGAGGAAATATATATAAAGTATATATATAAAAGTATATATATATATGTAAATGAGAAAAACCGGCGTCGTCGTTAGCGGCGTTCAGACGACGGAACGGGGTATTCCATGTTTTCGTGATCGAAGTCCGCGAGAAATCAATACGCGGTCATTAAATCATAGTTTCCTCGAATCATTTTTTCAAAATTAATAATACGCTCGTAATTAAGCTTGTCGATTGAACTTAAAATTTTCGATTTCGAACGCCTCGTTCTATCTTGGAAAAAATTTTTGGGAAGGATTTCTCGCTTGCTTCGGCCGCGAACACGCGAACAAATGACGATTATGTGTTGTTATCGCACGGTTGATGAATAATTATTTATTTATATGGATGATGATGATAATGCTGAAACAAAAGCGATAAATAATGATGAGCGATACTGCTGAATCTAATGATAACAGATGGAATGATTGACGCATGCTACTTTTCTGTCCGAACTACGATCAATTAAAACGCCGGTGGTGATAAAAAGGTAAATACCGATAGAGAGTGGTGATCACGATTTAATAATTGTAGAAACGTACGTACGATGACGATGTAACGAACAAAGATTCGATGATGTTCCTGTTAATAAATAATAATGATAATTAAATAAACGAGGCGACTCTACCACAGAAGGCACGCTAAGTCAGAGGTCGCATTTATTTTTATTTTTTTCTTTTTTTCGCCAAATCTTGGGTCCTGCGTGGGCGAGGAATGGATTGGAAAAAAAAAATATATAGTATATATATATACAATTTGTAAATCGGCGGGCGGAGCGGTCAATTCGAAAATTGCGTGAGAAGGAAGAAAAAAAGGAAGGAAATGCGGTGTGTGCGCCGGCGCACAGCGTCGACTATGACGACAACGACGTGGATCCGTGGATTGATTGAGCGGCGATTAATCGATCGTTCGTTCACCGTCTCTAAGCGGCGCCAGCACTCGTCGACCCGTAATTAAACGAGAAGCACGTACGTATAAAACGATTATATTATATGGAATACAATGTGTAATAAAGCTGTTGTCATTTTTTGTACTTACACTTATTTCAAATTATTTTTCAACATTCTCGACGAGTTTTCTCACTGATACGAAAACTGTGTTCTCCCGTTTCCTCGTTCCCTTGCCTGTTCGCACAAAGTGGCCGACAAAGTTTTAAACACTGATATATTAAAATGAAATCGATTAAAAGTTTTCGTTGTTCCATTACTTTGTGTTTTATGAAGTAGTACAATTTCTTTTCGTTTGTCACTCGCCTGTTCCCTCGTTTGGTAGCGTACAAATCCTGAATCATATTCGTTCGTTCGTGTAAACGACTATCTGTTTTTTTATTCACCAGAATAAGACAAGTGTAAAGATCCTAACATGTAATTACGGAATCAGTGTATATTTGTAGCATTTAGAAGAATTGTACAACCGGTCACGCGTTCTTGCGATTATTATTATTATTTTATCATAATCACTGTCATGTACAGATAGTGATCTAAGCTGTCAATGTGATAATATTGTCACGCGAGATTAATAATGATCCATTAAAACGTACTTATGTCTTGCATTTCACCTTCTCATTTTACATAAACATCGAATAAAATATAATTAGAAACGAAATAAGTTACAAGTTGAAGAAGTAGGAATTAAAACAATTACGAGATGATTAAGAATAAAAATATCTGATTCATATCAACGTAAGAAGTGAAAGAAAGTCGGACTATTTAGTTCGAATGAATGAATTTCAACATAAGAATAGAATGCAATGCGAAGAGGAAGCGCAGTACTGAGAAAAAGCGATGCAAGCCAAACCGAACCGTTCCAAGAGTTACGCAATGCACGATGAATCCTTAAAGGACGAGAGGCTCGCCGTTTCCGCGGAGGGACTTCGCTTAAGAACACAGGACACGGATGCATCGCGGCAAAGTAGCCGCGAACGTGGCCCCGCTTGTGGGAAGATCGCGTCGCATCGCGAGGAAACGAGAAACAGAGAAAGAAAGAAAGAAAGAAAGAAAAAAAAGGGTCCTCATGAGGAGGAAGTCGCATCTTCTCGGAATTACATCAGATTGCTCTGATAAGGGGACAACGATTTTATGTAACCCCGATCGGGGACGGTACGTGCGTATGCGCGCATTATACATATGGGCATCGTCATACGGTACGGTTTTGCTTGCATTAGAATTCAGGGAATCGTCGCGCCGCGCGCCGCCGACCGCCGCCGGTTGGAATAAAATTGATTCGGCCGGCGTAAGAATCTCTATGGGAAAATGATAAGTGCTCGAACGCATGATCGGAATTTTACGATCGCTACATGTGTCAACGCGTTATCTCCACGCGTTGGAATTAGATAATCTCCTCGATGTTTTCTCAGAATTTAGTTTCTCGTGGGTAAGTCAGGTCGTTTAACTCTTAAATGCTACGTGGGGTGAAGTTTCACGGTTTCGTTTCAAGGTAGTTCTTTCATGAAATTAAAAACAAGTGATTGATTTAGGAATTAAATTTATATTTGTTAACATAATCATTGTACTTCCGAAATTCGAATTCACATCCGTTTAAAAGTAAAACAGAGCAGCCTCTTACAACTCCTAATGGAACATCCTGTAGATGTGTGCATGCACGTGTTTCATCGTTAAACTTCTGTGATTTTATTATACGTTTCTTCTTCTATATGTACAGAGCCGAGTTTGTCTATCAATGATCTTGTGTTCCAAATCGTGAATCGAAGTCGATCGGGAACTTTCCAACGATACTGTCACTGAGTAACGTTCGCTTCAATCGAATCCGATTTATGCACCTCGTGCACTCTCTTCAGATCTTAATCAAGATAATATATGATCTTCTTGCAATTCTTATAAATGGTCATGTACTTTTCATTATGCAAGTCAAGTATAAATGGAATCGTAAGTGGAATCCAGAAAAAACCTTTCCATTTAAAGTTTACAGTTAAGTGCATATTTGTGCGAGATGTTAATTTAAAAATCCAGACTGACACTTCTTCTAAACTACAAAAATAATGTTTATTTTGCACATTTTTGCTCATTATATGCACTCTTTATATTTTCTGCACATCAGATTTTTCTATAAGCACATAAAATCTGCAATCTAGTTATGTCCCTTCTACGGAAGACGATTCTCGTTTTAAAAAGTCGAATTACAGTCGTCAATTTGTTACTAATATCGGAAAATGCGTGGGTAAGAAGGTAGGTAGGTGGGTATTAGTCCGCGAGGGGCAGGAGAAAAAATTGCCAGGCAAAAATGTTAATTAACTAGAGGGGAAAGGTGGAAAAGAATAAGATGGGCTGTCGGTGCGGAGGGGGAGAAGAGGCTACGAAGAATGCCACGGTGGAGTCGTAATGGGTTTGCTGCAGCAGCAGTCGGCGGAGCTGAAGCTGAAGGTAATAACCAGCGCGTATATAACGACACGACGCGATGAGTCGTAGGTAGCTTAGCCACGATGTTACTTCGACGACTTTCACGAGGTTCACCGGCTTCTGCTTATATTGTATACATATATGCACGTATACGTGCAACGTGTATAATATCCTCTCCGAGGCTTCGTGATCGTCGACACATCTCCTGCATGAGTCAAATCAAATTCGTTGCATTCGATAGAACTTTGCATAAACAAGGAAATTATCAAAATTATTATTACACTAGACTGCGGATTTTTGTGCAAAATAGAATTCTTTAAAAAATGTAATTATGATGCATGTATCTGCATAATAATTTATATTCTTGGGGATCCAACTTTTTTTATCAAGACACCAAATCTTCAGTTCACTATTTAATTATTTTATTTCCATAAGGAGAATCATCTTTCTTTTCTTCGGCTTGATCTTCCAACCGAATCACTATACTTTAATTATTGACAGCATATTTGTTCTCATCCTGCCGCTTATGCGAAATCGATACATAATGAGAGATAATAATAGCCGTTAGGTAAAATCTAATAACCCGATCATAAATATTAATCAATGGTTTTTCATGAATATATATTCATATAACACGTCGAAGTAAATCAATAACGTAACGCCGTTGAGTATAATTAATGCACGTGACAAGGGTACATACCATTTATCTATCAGTTCTATTACATTGATAATTATAATTTATTTGGTCGGTGGAACGACCGGATTTTATCAGTACCCACAAAATCCTGATTGATCATAATTAAATCATTAAATATAGGAGTTAGAAGAATAAGTCATAGAATTTTCTTATTTATTTATTCTTCTTATTTTTACTTGTTCATTTCTTTATGTACTTATTTATTCTTTATTCGCTTATTAGCTTAATTAATAATAACATACAAAGTCAGAGCTGGTCAGAAATCATTGTCCCAACCTATACATGCATGTCTCTGTGGTTGGCTGTAGAAAAGAGGCAACCAGACGAAAGCTGCGTTGAATCGAATCGGAAGAGATTCGGCGGTGCCCCCGGTGAAATCTGCCGCAATCGATCAGACAGATTCGATTGAACGCTCCGACGGTTTCGAAGCTACCGTCGATTAGACGTCGCGCTGGTTTCTCAGCTCGACAAATTTGGCGCCTACAGTCTGACCGTCGACGATCATCGGACCCGACGGATCGAGAAATTGTCTTCCATTCGTCAATATTTATGACCATTTTATGTGAACGTCGTGCTATGAATGGGAAATGATATACTCCACGCCTCTACTACATAGAAAAACATTGATTTTCGTTATTCATATGAGTATGAGCACAAAACCGATGGCAGTCATATAAAGCGTTTTCTCATGTCGATAAGGATCGCATGATTTTAGTAAGATTGTGAATTATACTAACAAATATGCTGTGCCGTTTCAGGTTTATCGAGAACCAATATGGAATGAGATGCGCGATGGAAGAACGGTTTCCTCACAGATGCAGTGAGGAGAGACGCGTCGGAGTCCATACAGTTAAAAGGTACAAGTACGGATAGCTATATGTATTATTCCTCAGCCGCATGTACGTAAGTACGTATAAGCAGAGGAACGTGTGAGTAACGTGTACTCATCGACATCGTCTTTCGAGAGACTTTCACTTGCCCTCCGGTTCGGTGTACAGCGTGCAGGAGTTTACAGCCACGTGAGACGGCGTTAAGGATCTTCTTCCTTCTCCCTCCTCGTCCTATCTTCCACTCTCCTTTTTCTGAGCCTGATCCGCCCCTTCCACCAACGATTACAATACTATCGTCTATAACTAGACTGCAGATCTTATTAATCTTATGCAAAATAAAACATTTATGATATCGATTTCAAAAATGAAATCTGGATTACAATTCCTTGCATTCTTAAAAAATATTGATATGTATTTTCGAACATTTCTGCCAATAAATGGATTCTTTGTTTTATATTACAAATTCTAGTTTTACAGTATTATAAAGTCGGTATAATAATGAATCAAAAAAATAAATGCGAACGGTGTTTTCTTGAAATTGTGTAAGATGTCATAATAATTATTTGAATATGCCTCTATACACGTGGAAACGTGTAGGAAGAGAATGATAACTGTGGACGAGGCACTGTCACCTAAAAATCAGGCGAACCGCGATGGGCAAAATCTCTGTTGAACTGGCCAAAAACATCAGAGACCGCTTCCGGCCGGTTCCCTTTCCAGGTGCGATCGCAACGTTGCACCTCGGTGCACCGAGTCAAACGAGACCTGTCCGAGGTAGGAGGAGGAGGACGGCTCGAGCATCCTGGGACGCGACGCGACGCGATGGACGCGAGGAAGGGCAGTGCGGTGTTCCGGCGAAAAAAATTAATTGGGCGGATGTAATCCGATCGATTCCCACGATTCAACTATGCGCTCGCCTTTTATCCAGCGATGTAGGTACGCGTACGAATCGATCCGGCTCATTATCGTCGATAAACCGAGCAGGAGCTGTGTAGGTATGATTCCCCGTCGGTTCTTTTCAGAAAACGAGCTGGCCTATTACGTTATATTATGTACACCCACTCTGCTTTTCGACGGTTCGACATCCGCGGGAGCCTCGGGATTTTGTTGTTGGCCCCCAGATGATGGAATCTGGGCGCGGTTGTTGCGCCATTATCCTTTTTTCCTCTCCTGATAATGCCGGGTTGCAACGGTGTGTAAGGTGGGATTTGGTATTTTATCCTTCGCGAAATTCTCTTCGTATAAACGAGAATCGACAGTTAGCCATGGGATTACGTCGAATCGCTTCGAATCTATCGTGCGACAAAAAGTTTGTACCATTTCGAATATAATCCGAAGCTTTGAACTCTTGAAAGTCTTGACGATCTTGAGAGTTTTGAATATCTCAAATATATCGACTGGTTAAAAAAAGAAATCGTATTTTTTGTTTACGAAATGTAAATGACAACACGTTTCATCTTCAGGAAATTCGTCCAAGCCGTCTGAAAGAAGCTTAATGCACCGTTAATAGTATACAAGCCACCCTCTCTTTACACATACGCGCGTGAATCGTTCCTATTTCTAAACGTCGCGCCGCGTCAATTCGACCTCAATAACCCCAGCTACCTCGCGAAAGCCATTTACTGCTACCATTCATCGGTTCATGTCAGTTTTTTTATTTCATCCCTTCTACCAAACGTACACACGTATTACACGTATAATATATTGTTTCTTAAAGTATGATTTTGCTTTTTTACCATATGCGCTGCAAATCGAAGGATTCGTATAAAAAATGTAGTCAATAAATCATGAAGTTGATTTGCTTGGAATTTGTATCTTGAAGATCTGTTATTAATTAGCCCTATTGCGACACACACGACGCGTATAGAAAAAGATAAACACACGTCGTACACCGTGTTCGCGTTAATTGATGCGACCCTTTGATTATCGCGCATTGGATAGATAATTAAAGAAGGAGAGAGGGAAACGCAATAAATACTGGTCTGCCGGCACGTACCGGCGGGAATACTCACGTGGCGCCAATACGAGGTTCGCGAGCTTAATTATAGTCGGCCGATTAGAATGCACCGCACCGGGCAGGAATCGCGGCTGGAGAGGAGAGAAACCCCGCGCTTCTTGCTCCGCGACGGCACAAGTGCAACGGTGCGCCTTTCCTTTTGCGTCTGCCCTCGCCTGCCTCCTCTCGCCACGATTCCATTCGCGCAACCGTTTTACTCTTTACGCTCGCCTTTTTTCCCTTTTCCTCCGCGGTGACGTTAAATCCCAATGCGAAGGGATCGACATTGATCTCCTCCACTGACGTGGAATGACTCATTTGAAAAATTACTGTAATAGATCATCGGAGAACTATCGCCGGTTGACTAACAGATAGATACACATGCATAAATGTTACACGCATTTATCTGATTCCGTTTGCGCAACCAGATTCGAGTTATGGTTATCTGTTTTTTCGTTAGTTACATTACCTTTCAACAAGATATTCACGTACACTTTGTAGAAGGTTAACAATTATTTTACATAGAATATTCACTTGATTCGTCATTATTCAAAGGCAAAGAGTATGAAAAAAAAGCCTTGTAAGCAAGAAATAAGTTGTCTTGCTTCGGTCTCTGGCCAAGAACGTACAAAACGTCGATGTTTCCCGGCTGGCTCTGTGAAAATCGTTCACGCGGTGAACAAGTCTACTGATATCAAGCTCGTGAAGTAACTGCACACTATTAATATCTACCGGCAAAGAGAGCCGCTGAAAATATTCAAGCGTTGCATTCGGACGGGGATAGGTTCGCGGTGGATCTAACGATAAGTGCGCCGCACACATGCACGCGCGCGGCTGTATTCTGTTCTAGCACTCCTCTTCGCCCCCTCGTGTGTACTTACTTACGGAGAATGTTTGCACGACGACGCGGAGATGAGAGAAGAGAGGAAAGGATGGAAGAAGATCCGTGCCACTCGGTCATTGGTGAACGTACCGCGCCGTACCGTCCCGTACCTTGCTTTTGCCACGCTGCATCCTATCTCTTTGCAACATTTCGTCCTCCATCTTCAGGATCTGTTCCTTACATCTTACCATCTCGGTCCCCTTCGCCCATGGATTCAGTAATTAGACGATGATCTCTCAAGTTTAATGACACAACGTGATCGAGATATTGCATTAATCTGCACTGATTTCATTTAATGATCGTTATTAGAACTTCGTATCGATTTCCTTTATCAAAATTCATTATACATTTTCTTCTAATCTTTAACTCTATCGTTTCTTGACATTAAAAGAATGGTGAGCGAGTTCTCATTGCTTTTGAATTGAAATTATAATGACTATTCAATTGTTATTCTTTAAATTGGTTGATGAATGGAGCTTATTTAAGTCGATCATTTGTTGATTTATGTGGCAGATAATGAGAAAACAGGTGGTACCCTCGGGTGGTATAGTAACGCGTGTATGAGATAAGAACAGTTGTTACACCAGATCGAGGTACGATTTATTAAAACGTTTCCTGTTATCTCGCTCCCAACTGATTCGTTACAATACCGACGGTACTAGTTCAAGGATAAGTCCCGTTATTCACGTGAGCCATCTCTTCTTTTATGGAAGTTATTCATTAAACGTTAGGCGACAATAAACTCTACACACGATGATAAAAAAATGCGGCTAGATAGGAGAGTAAACGAAGAAAAGTGTTATGCAACGAGTATAAGAGAGCTGAAATTGGTGTGCAAAAACAACGGGTTTAGTACGTAAGCACGCGGTTAGAAAACGCTAAAACGTATCCGCGACGAGGTTCGAAGCCGAACCGAGCGAAGCCCGCATTAGAGCCTGTTCGGGTACCGGTAAGGTCAAAGGATATCACCTGCATGCCCCGCGTACACGCATCCCCCTCCGCGAAAAATCCTCGAGCATCCGCTATACTTGACCTCTTGCAACAGTAATCTCCATGACAGTGTGCCATGCACGCCGCGTCTGCGTGGCGCACCAGTAAAAAAAAAAACGGAATGCTTAAAAATAATCTAAATTATACACCGCATGGGACACCGCGCGCCAGCCGCGAATTACTGTACTTGTATGTACGTACGTACGCGATTAACAATTTTCAACGACTCTGAACAGAGCGGAGAGCGTACGTGTGAAATGGAATTCATTTCCGAACGAATTCCCCGACGTTCGAAAGTATAATTTGTATTATACTTCTAATTAAAATTGTGATTTTATTTACTTATAAAAGATAACGTGATACTTGTGAATATAAAATGTGAATGTATATGGCAATTAAATACTTATCAGGCAACGTGAAGAATAAGCTTCTGTCCTGTAAAACTTTATGTGAGAGACTTTTAAAATGAATATGCAGACGTATGTACGAGTGAGCATCTTAAAATTAAAAACAGGAGACTGTGTATCAAAGTCCAAGTCACTAATGAACTGCAGTATAAAGAGCAATACGTGTAAATTAAGGATAGCGTCAAAATTTAATAGGATTACTGGATAATGATTAAATAATATGTACGATATAAATATGAATACAAATTGCATGATCAAAGAGACTGGATAAATTCAGGAGACGGTCGATTAGATCGGTGGAAATTTTGTCACGTAGTAAAAGAAAAGTTGGGAAGAGAGGGACAAAAATTGAATCGAAATTCTGGTTTCCAGGTACCGGTAAGGTCAAAGGATATCAACCGCGTGCGCGCACATCCTGCCGGCTGGAAAAGAACCAGCGGCAAGGGGTCTCGGAGAGGTTGACCCCTGCCGGTAGTATCCTCTCCCCGTCTCTCTTTCCCTCCGTCGGAACGTACTTGTGTATACATACGTACGCTCGGCTCGGCTTAGAATCTAGGTAAAGCCGACCGCAGCACGGCGCCGCATCGGTAGACCGTTAAGGTTCGATCACTTAAACGTACGACACGAAAGGGGAGGGAATGCAGGCGAAGGTGTAGGAGGAGGCCATTACCTATCCACCTCCTCCGCCGACGAGTTCGCATACCTGCGTCTGCGTGCTGCTGCGAAGGTGTGCAACTCGTGTATCGAGAGCGGAGGGGCACCGCCAAATGTCAGGAAGAGAATAGACCGCGAGTGAGTGGAGAATAGGATCGTCCCGGTTTAGAAGAATGGTTATTTCATACGTTACGTGTGTGTGGTACCGGAACCAGGCAACTTTCGTTAAAAGTTGTTGAACGATGCGCTGACCGCTCTGTAATACATAAGACCAACTGATTTCAAAATTTCCCATCCTGTACGTTGCTCAATCGTCTATCAATGATTCGATCACTTTTTTTTATCGATTAGTAAACTTAAAAACTTGCACACTTTTTTATTGTATGCTTTTATATTATCCGACTTCGGTCTTCGTTTATCTAATATAAAATGTACTTTAAATCCTACGGAAATTAATACGCAGAGCCATGAGTACAAATTTAATGCAACGTTCAGTCAGAATTTAATAATAGAGATTTGTACGAGAATACAAGTATAATGAAAGGATGTAGACGGAGGATGATTAATAAATAGTCGGAAGGATGCAAAGAGGTTTGAGTTCGCGGGGAGTCGCGGAAATCAAACGGAATTCCACTCGCATTACGTTACGCCGCATTCTGTTAACAACGGAGGCTCCTTCTACTTACTTTCTAATTACATTGCGTCGGTTTCTCGTCCGTCGCGATGCGACGTGAACGAGCCGCGATAATACGGGCCGATGATTTTTTCGTAACACCAATTATCATTTCTGACTGCGAATTTCTCCTGGCGAATTTTTACTAACAATTAAATTGCGGGATTAAATTTTATGGATTTATAAAAGCCTGTGATATGCAAAAAGATATGAATAATCCATGTAANTGAAGCGATCTGCAAAGTTTTGATTTGTAGCGTACAATTGACACTGCTTCGTAAGGAGATTAGATGAATCATTAATTGTGAGGTAATCGTTTCAGCAGATGATAGGTGTATATATTAATTTGTCGCTCGATGGCTAGTGAGTCAGGCAAGCGTGTTTAATCCAATGTCATAACTTTAGATTGGATCATTTAAAAAGAAATCAACAGTTTCCTCCATCCGTGTCCATGTTTGAATGGAGACGTTTCTAGGAATACGATGATCGAGCCGTAACTTTTCTCAACGCGTTCACACGCTTCAGATGCATTATACTGCGTATAATTTTTTAGATCGCATTAACTTTTTATACGTGCGTATAATAAGTTTGCCTGTGTGTTTTTTAAGAACGGGATTTATAATTAGTATGCTAGATCATTTAAATGAAGAGGCGAACATAACAGATCGTGGATTTTCATGCATTTATAAGAAAAATAAGATTATCAGCATGAAAGCGAGGTACATTTGAATTTCATTCTCTGCTCATATTTCCTGAAAGTTTTATTTTGCATAAAAATCCTCAGTGTAATTATAAGTAACATTGAAAGAAGCTGACTTGTTAGAGCCTGCTTTTACATAGGCTCCACGGTAGACTTGGCGTTTCAATCAATTAAAGTCGAGTCATTCCAATCATCTCCCTCGAAGCAAGTACCGCCGGTAGCGGAGAAATTTCTATTATGTACATCGTTCCAGCGAAGCAGCCTCGCCAATCCTCTGCCAATATATTTGTCGAACGCGAACGCCGTGCCATTGTGCCATTACCGTGTTGTAACGCTGGCAAACCGTTTTTACGAGCGAAATTGAGGAGGACAAAAGAGCGATGGTGGCTCGACCATAGAGAATCGACGAACGTAGCCGGGAATTACGACTCGGCTCGGGTGTTGCGGCACGTTCTCGTCGTCGTCGTCGCCCACCTTGAAAACTTGGGAGTATGTGCGCGCAGAAAATAAAAGAGAGAACAAGAGAGCCTGTATGCAACCATGTCGCGTGTATGTAAGTATTCATCGGCTCTCCTACGAATTAATCCTATTATAGCGGAAAGAGCCTCACCTTCGCGTCGGCCACATCATCATCATCGGCGTCATCTGACATCGTCATCGATCCCACACTCCATTCCGCGTGCGAAGGCGAAGCCTTTTACGTAATGAACCGGTGGTTCCGTTTGTTTATGTAATCCGACTCCCTCTCCCTTGGCGAGAAAAACAGAATTTTGCAATCGTTTCCTGAGATTCACAAGAACAGTGCAATTTTCAGCTTCCAGTCCTTATAATTACTAAGTGCTAACTGTGTAGCGAATCGAAAATGAACCGTGTGCGAAACAACACGTGCTTGGATAATTAAAAAATTATGATATTCCATAAATCTGCATGAAATATCTGTATGTATAAAAATATTTGAAAAATAATACAAATTTTGTTAACGTCGACAAATACTATTCATAATTGTACTTCAGCTTTTGAATATTATACATATTTCATATTGAAATCGTGCACTTGTGCGTTTAATTGAATTTGACTTATGATATTTTGCATATAGGCGCATGTGTGTTAGATCTGACTACGAGTGGACGATGGTGTCCTCGTAAATATCAATTGCAGCGTTGGCAAATCGCGTTTACCATAAAGAGAACGCATCCAGTCGATGGTCGAACGAGTTACAATCACCGCGCGCGAGCCACTGCAAACAAAAGAGAGAAGAAAAAAAAAAAGAACAGACAATACTTACACGCGTAGTAAGTAACCGAGCGCGACTCGCGGGATTTCCTCCTGGGAGATTCGATCGTCTCAGGGACAATCGATAGTTTCCTAATCTCTCTGTATCGGACTTGTATGTTTTGCTCTGTCCCGCGGCTGCTTAGTCGAGTCGACGATGCGTAAAGACACGTCCTTCGACGCTAATGACGACGATAATGGTATCGCGGCGTGGCAGCAAAAATTCACCGTGGCAAAGCGTGACACGTTTTGCGGAATTCGACGCGTTTGATCGCGGCGAGGGATCCACCTTTTCTAATCTAATCCAGTCTGGATTTTTTAAACCGTGGAACGCGATAATTAATGAATCGCCGATAGTGTAGTGCGTTGCGTGGAAAAGAATGCGATAAAAGTCCGCATCATGAACGGGGTCAGAGGATCATAATTAATTATAGCATGACGTTTGCGTAAGATTATATGCACACATTTGGATTTCTCAATATTTTATGTTCTTCCATCGTTACTATTAAATGAAATTGTAGAGGGTCACAGTTAATTTTCAATCGTGATTTGCATCCAACAACAGATCGCCCGATGTATTTTCAGACAAGAACGCTCGGATGAGGAACAGACGCGTGCAATCGCTTCCAATGTAGTAATCGTCGATGCGTGATCCGACCGGTGGCTATATTTTTTTCATCGCTAGGCCCATCCTCGGTCCTGAATTTAAACGCCGGAAACAGGAGCAACGTGTTGGGACCGTAATAGCTCGTCGGAACAGCGGCCCGAGGCTTCGACGAATCTGCCTAGGTCAAGGTTCCCATAAATCACTGCAACCGATCCCGAAAAACGGTTCACCGCTTTTTCAGCACGCGTCTCTGCACGTACATGCAAATCTCTGTATGCATTGATGCAGAAATGTACAATTCATATTTCATAATATCTATGAAATTGGCAAAGCCGTTTAACTTCTTCCAAAAATTCGTTTTTTTTTTCCACTTAACACCGTTTCGATGTGATCGGTATAGAACTTTGTATCAAACGAGGGCCACCAAGAAATAATTCAACAGACGTACAGTTTCGGAGAAAATTACAAAGCGAGATTACTTTGAGAAAAATTTGGGAATCGTTAGAGAATCTGTTTGCTTTACGTAATGGTTGCACAAACAATATGTACATGTGCACGTTCATAACGCGCAGTAAACATTCCTCGATCGTCTCCAGCCGTCGTAAATCAGAATTTTCTATACATTGGTAACGAGGACTATGGGACGTTTGGACGTTACTACTTCCTCTTCCATTCCGTTGGACGCTGAAACAGCAGCACGTGGTCCTCGGCACGGAATCGATTCCAACTTGTCTACAGCATGGTTCTCCTTAAAGACCATTTGAGAAATCGAAGGGAACATCTCGAGCTGGATACCCCATGGACATCTCGTAGAATCGTGCGTTTCCGCGTGTCTCGCATCCACATGGACCAGTGGTGGACAAACTCTCTTTCTGATCGTTACTCACCGAGAGTCATAAAGCACCGCGTTTTACGAGTAAAAGATGAGCGCAAAAAATGGCCAGTTTGATCCTTATCTTAAGTCTACACCATCCGGGATGTTCGACTGTATGCAAATGTCATTGCGATGAAATTTATAGATTATGAACAGATGGGATAGAGTTTAGATGCAGGATTAAGATGGTACTATCACTGAAATCGTTGTCAAACCAACAGTGCAAAGTTTTTTCATATAAGCTTGTTGGTTTTTCCAAAGGACAATCTTGTCACATTGTCTCGTGTCCTTGTAGTGGTTGCAAAGTGAGTCAGGAAGAACTATGATTTAAAATGAAATAATTCATTGATTTTATTAGAAAATCTTATAAAAATGAATTGCGATTTACTAGTGAAATGATTAATCCGAAATAGATACGGGCTTTTAATCAGCGTTATTGCACATGGTTGCGCACCTCTGTGGAAGGTACAGCTCACGTGACCAGGTTAGGACAAGGATGACGTGGTCACAGGTTACTGCCGGAGGTTAGCGTCGAAGACTCGTCGCGTCGCGTCGGCTCGCCTATTGGCAAATCGCGACTCCGAGGAGCCTAGCCGTCGGGGTTCGCGTTCCTCTTCGTGCTGCATGTCTGCCGGCGAATAGAACGGGCCAGCGGGGGTAGGGCAAGGAAAAAAAGACAGCAGATAGTGGATGCAGGATGGAGGAG